GAATATAGTACCAATAGAACTAGACTCACGTATTGATTCTACTATTTTGATTGTTGACTTGATAGTCTTTATAATAATATAGCAAATCAGCCATCCCTTCGATTGGTATTAGTATAAGTCCATTGTACTGGGAATAGAATATAGAAAAAACAGGAAATAACTGTTTAATATTAATGGATAACAGTGAGATAAATAAACTGGATGAAAAGTTTAACCACAACGTCTGGCCTGCGCCCAAAAATGATTTTGTAACCCTCTTACAGTTTCATTAAACGCTTGTTTCAGATATTGCAGTTGATGAACCCTTGCTAATAAATTTATGACTGAATTCAGATTTAAGATTTATGGTTAAAATTAATTTCAACTTTTAAGAATTTAGTATCGCTTAGCGATCCTATTAATTCTTGCAGCTGCAAGACAATTTCTATATAGCCTTCAATTATACTGTATATCAAGAAAGTGTGAATCAATTACTTGATTTTAGATAATTTTATAGTTTGTATGTTGGCTGAATCATTCTCTTGTCAAATGGAAAAATTAAATATTTCAGTAGATGTACCGATTTATTGCCCACGTTACTGTACTTACTAGCAAATTTAAATCGTGATCTTTGAAACATGGATAATACAGATTATGTCGTAAATGAGATCTTGATCCTGAAACAGTTTAATTTTTCTAACGCTAATATTTGTTTATCAACTTTGATAATGCTTCAGTTTTTTTCTCATTTTCGACAGTGGACTTATAATAGTTTTAATGTAGTACGGTAAAATTGGATTTATGTAGTTTAAGACTATGATTGAATGATAACTATATACTTTATAACTGTCGATAAAGTGTTGGAGTTATTTACAAGGAATTATCGTAAAAACGAAAATTTTTATAGAATCCTTTAATACTAAAAGCACGCAGAAGTTGAGATTTTGTCATAAGAAATTCTGCAACTGATCGGCAGAATCGTATGATCAAAAATGACTGCTAGACGCTAATTTGCATGTCCTTTGTAGTTTTATGTAAATACTTATGTTAATAGTTTGACATCATGAACAAAAGCATAGTATTAGTTTCGTTAATATTAAAGTATCTGGGCGCTATTCCTGTAAATAGTTTTATTAGAGCATTAATTAGTCTTTTTGATACAGAGAACATAGCATTTCTAGTTAAATCGATTACATGTAGCCTTTCACAGTAAATTCTCTTAATAATTCATAATTTCACTTGACTTGAATTAAATTCAGTCGATTAATTACTAATAATGGCACCATCACGACAACAATCCTATTTCATTATTGATTATGTGATTAATTATTTCCTATAAAATTAATGTTATCGTTATAAATTAGTTACTAGTACAAGGCTTCTACTTGAATAGTAATAGGGTTGCAGGATGTTTACGTTAATGTAACGATTCAGTTAGGGCCAATATTTACAATTATTTCATAATATTCTCCTGCAAGCAACATTCTCTAAAGAACTTTAGTAAGAAAGAATATCGACGCTATTAAGCTGTTCGACGGCATTATACCCTAAAATTAAAGCATTATAATAGCCTAAAGTAAGTGGATGAGTAAAATAAAAAGCGTTATTTTTTACGTCAGCTTATATAGTAAAAGACATGAGGTTAATTAAAATGAACATCTGCAAGTTCTTAATACAGGATTGAGTGAAATAAGCTGTTTAAATACCTATATACATGTTTCCTATAAAATTTATAAATAAGTAGATATGCGTAAGCGTAACAGATTTTTCGAAATGTAGTCGTATCCTGCTATTTCATTTTCTTGTAGCACGGGAGTATCAATACGTTCAAATATTTGAAAAATTATCAAAGAGTAATAGGTTATTTCGATATCAGCACAAATCGACTTGTATGTAATAGAGATGGTCTATAAGCCTTTATATAAATTTTCACTATAAATACTATAAATGCTTCACAAAACGTATCATATACATAGTCATTTATAATTTAAGAAATCTTGACAGAAGACAATTAAAATGTACTAATGTTAGTAAAAATTCGTGATTGCATATCCACCACAAATTATATTTTAGGATAATGCTATCCTGATATCTTAATAAAAAAATTACAGGACTTAGCAAGTGTGATATATACCAATCACGAAATTCCAAGTTTTAGAAAAATAAGGGCTTTATTCAATCTTATACAAAGATTAACTACACAGCTCTACTCTAGCCGAATACTACTTCTAAAGACTTCTAGAACGAACTAACAGAATAATCTAAAGTTGCATGCTTTTATACTTTCCGTAGCATTCGCAGCTACAATCCGCATGGCAACCTTTTACCTTATTTTACACATAGCTAAATTATTCTTAGTAAGGCTATTCTACTGCGGACCATCATTAATCCAATATGGATACGACTACAGTACTTACGTAGACATTATTCACACCAGCCAAAGTACAATGAATTAACCATATCCTAATATATGATTTACAGTTCTATTTTTACCTATAGCCATATTAGTAACTCAACAGCTTACTGTATATAGTCATCTGTACTCTAGTATAGCGTCTCTACCACTACAGTCTATAGTTACAGCTACCAAATATCTCTTAGGATAAATATCTACCGTACATTATACTACACATGGCTAACAGTCTACAATCACAATACTAAGTTACATTACAGCAAGATATTGCAATTTCATGGACGAATATTAAATACAGCACACTATTACATTTAAAAAGGAGATATTTGGAGCCACCCTGGACTCTTAACCAGTCCAGTTTTCTTGGAAATAGATATCTGCACATATTTCTTATGACTACAATAGATAATTAATTGATTTAACTTACTTTAGGGAGCAATAATATCGTATCCACTGACGTATTGATATTTAAATTAATCTTTTAACTGTAGCAACAAGCAAAATTAAGGATAATCTAGCTTATTTTACGCGGGTTAAAAGGAAATCGATCAAATACATGAACTCATAAATGTATTGCTATGTTCTATAGACAAAAATAACGTATTTTTCTTAATTTAAAATAGCCCACATCCTGCTTTTCAGGCAAATCAAAAATAGGCTTAGTACGGTTGTTATAAAATCAGTAGGTGGCTGATTCTCAATAACTACATCGAAGGTAATTGTAGTAATTTATTAGCATATACTAACTTTGTACTAAAATCAAGATCAATATTCAACAGTAGGATAAATTACAACTACATTTAGATACCACTTTTCAACAAAATAGTTTTTATTTCTGCTATGCGCGTACGTAAAAATTATACTTAGTACAGCAATTTTTATTTCATAAATGTATAGCTAAGGCCTAAAATCGTTTTAATATCATTAATTGCGGTCTAATTATGTGTACAATATGATAATTCTTGTTTATTGTAAGATTAGATACTTCGCTCTTTGTCAAAATTTATCTTAGATCCACAAGTGTGTAGCCATCTTTTATCGTTCTATATTTTATTAGATCAACTTGACTGCATTCTAAATTTATGTACCATCTACTATCGCATTAATATTGCTATTAATCTTTAAATTGTAGCTACGAGTAAAATATAGGACAAATCTAGCTAAATTTATGTAAATAAGAAACGAATTCAATTTATTAAGTGAGCTAATAAATGCGTTGCTGTTGTCTATGGACACAAATACACGTTGTTTATTTAATTTAAAATAAAGTATATCTTCTTTTCTGCTAAAATAAAATAAGCTTAATGGGATGATTTTAAATCATTACATGATTGATTCACTTGCTACATCGAAGGTAATGCTATTAATTTATTAGGATATGCTAAATGCACACTTAAATTTGAGATCAATTTCAATATAGAATTAAGTATAAGTACTTAAGTTACCGCTTGCAACGAAATAGTATTTACTTCAATTATATATATAAACTATACGGTACTTATTTTCTTTCAAAACTGATATCTAATTATGTGTATAATACGATAGTTTTATTTGTTGTAAGATTAGATACTTCGCTCTTCATCAATCTATCTTAGATCCAAAACTATATAGCCATCTTTCATCGTTCTATGTTTAACTAGATCAGCTTGACCACAGTAGTATTGGAATGAAAAATAAAATAAAATTTTCTATATTAAATTAAACAATTGAAGTCCAAACAAAATAAATTAGGGAAAAAACACCACTTTATTATAACTATAACAACAATCTTAGCAAAACTTCTATGAATAGCAAAATACGGCCGAACTACTGCCTCAACCAACCAAACTATCAATTAATGAGGTAACTCACAATCATCCTAGACTTTTCTCGTCTTCTCTAACTTCAACTGCTCTCAATTACCGAACTACGGCACCTTTAATATGGTACGCAAAGCAGTTGGTGGTGTTAGATTATTTAACTGTCATTCTAAAGTGCTCCAAATTAAACTAGCAATCAAATACACATGATAAGATAAATTATACCCTAGATTCTCGACTACTACTAAATTAATACTAAGTATAGTTTAGCTTAAAACTCTATATTTCTACAGTATACGCTAAGACAAAATAACAATCCCAGATCGAATGTTTTGGGTTCATACTGTATCAAATTACAGAGTAACATTAACTTCTACTGTAGTAAATGATCAAAATTAGCACACATATATTCTATTAACTAAATATATCGCTTGAATTACAAAATCATAATATCTGATTCTTAATAAAAATTATGCTACGGATTATCTTAACTTCTAACCCGAATAAAGCAGTCGGGTTTACAATATACTAAGATACTAAGTAAAATCTACCATTATAATCAACCAAATAAGCCATATTTTTTGAAGCTAGAATACTTATCAAGATACAAAAACAAAGCTAGAATAATTACAATACAAGAACTTGGGGGAAAATTCTAAGAATTAACCTTCATTACACCAGTGTCTAAATTGACGGATTGATGTTACTAAATCGTTTAGAAATGCTAGCTGGATTTACATAACCGTTACTTGTTCGATTTAGAAAAAATTTTTTGAGAATTTATCTAAAATTGATCAACTTGCAGAGTTTTAGCAAAAGAATTTGTATAACTCTGAAACATGTTCACAATTATAAGGAGCTTTCTCCAGGCAAAGAACGAGAGCTTTATCGCATTCACAGTTGGCTTGATCGCAAGTATCAAAGGAGGACTCTATTTGATCATAAAGAAATGATGATTTTACGAAAATATTAATCAAGGCTGTAGTACAGCATCTAGGTATAGCAATGGATTCATAGCTGGCCGGCGTTATATAATTTTAATAATTGTCTAGTTAAGAAAGTATTTAATTGAATAGAAAACGACTCAAGGTGCAGAATAAAAGTTATAAAGATTTAGTTAAAAATTTAATTTAATCCTAACACTTACTGCAAATAATTTCATTTTTCTGAACTTCCCACGAATAGAAGTTAAATTTTCCCTCGTATAAACCCTTACAATTTGTTTTTTGGTAGCATTTATCGTGATTCATACAACAGATATCAGTTTTATCAACAGTATGATTACCTCTGGAACCCCAACCACAATAATTGCCGTATCCATAATAAGCTGCAGGATTACGGTTGATATTTCTCGACTTCATCATGTAATATAAGTTGAAAAGGTTTTTTCTATGCGTTTTGGTTTGCATTGGCATTCGACAATCAATGTTATAAGAAGGATAGCAACAGTCTTGGTAATCATCATTCAATATCCTGCGCAGATTTATTTTGACAAAGTTAATCGAAGCACCTTTTACAACGTCTAGTAGCTAATAATAAACGATATTGATAAATCTCAGACTTAATGGATTAAACCTAAATGGAGTCAATTTTAGTAGAGTTTATTGTGATAGAATAAAAGTAGAAATGATAATGCATAAAATTTGCCACGTCATCAGCTTGCATTCAGCTTTCCGTAGCCTACCTTAAGACATACCGCTGAGATATATATAGTAAAGGACTAAGAGTAGAGTCCTTTATAGCGTTTAGTATGTAACTAGTATTATTTTACGATAGAAAATACCTAGAAAGTGATAGTGTCTTTAAGTTTTACCCTACCAAATCATCATGTCGCCATCTTTTCTTCTTCATTATTTTACAAGGCATTATATAGATTACTATAGAAGTAGCCATAGAGCAATTGCCTAATCTAAAGAAAGAGCGTTTGATCGTCAATTCAAATTGTAAATGAATTTGACTTAGTAACAAAACCCTATCCTTAGAGAAAGGGGATTTATACCATGACGATAAAGTACTGTAATGCAGTCTACAGTATAATCGTACAGTTACCGTACAATCTGCGCTAAAACATCAACTGTCAATACTCAGCGATACTAATGTCAGAAAAGTAGTCGTGATAGTCATATCAAATTTTTTGATTAGCGAAATAGCGATTACTGTAATCTTTATAAAATCCGGATTTTTTTCGGATTGGGATTCCGGAACCGGCCGGATTTATGTCCGATATAATTTTCCTGTTTTAATTTTTGGATTTTAGTTATGAAAAATATCGTAATAGTTGATTTTTGAAATTTGAACTTTTTGTTATCAATTTGAAACTTTGGAATTTTATGACGTGACTTGAAAGTCACATTAGGAAAGTTAGTTTGGAAAATAGAAAATAAGATGGAAATTGGCAGAGGTTGTATTGGTTGTTAAGTAGTTAGACTGTTGTTTTTATGACTAAATCTTGATGTTTAAAGGATAATTTTTAGACCTTTATAGTGTATTAATGATAGAAATTATGTTAGAAGTGAAGTTTGATGTATTTTATAGTTAACTTGTTGGTTTTATGGTATTTTGTAAGGGAATCGTAGGGTAAATTGTGTCTGAACTTTGAATGATTTTTATTTTCTTAAATGGGTGTAAATGGTGCAAAGTAGTTTTCTAAAACGGATCTTGAGAGCGATTGGTTAGCAAAGGTTTAGTTTTAAACACCTCTGACGGCTCTACGAAGCCTATAAATGATAGTGCAATTAGAAAATTTAGGGGAGAGAGTAGAAGAAGGTTTTATTTGAAGAACTTGTTGAATTTAAAAGGCCTTCGGAGTCGAATTATCGTAAGTTAAAACGTTCTTCTTTTTGAAAGGTTGTTTGGTCGTTGACAGTTTTTAAGTCTGTCACTTATTTTATTAATACTTAAAGTTAAGTATTTGTAAGGTTGTTCAGTTTATACTTCTCTCCATTTTTTTTAATAAATTATTGTTCGGTTATTTCCCCAAATTTTATTTGGTGTCAAAGTTTCGTTAAGTCGACCGGAGTGCAACGAAAGTAGAATCAAAGTTTGTTAAAGTTTTGTAGCTTGATCTCTACACTTTTCATTTCATTACATATAGATAACTATGGCTTATAATATTCTTTTAAGCAATTTTATGATTTCTTATTTTATTTATGCTTTACGTCTAAGAAAAGCTTAATGGTGTAGAAATAGTTGCATGATTAGAAACAACTAAATTACTAATGAACTATAGTAGTAGTCAATTGCTCATGTTAGCTGAGATTCGTATGGATAGAACTATCCATTTGGAAGCAATCAAATTTGATATTTTCTAATATTCAACTGATAGTTTATCACAATATTAATAGTAAAGACGAGTACTATACTTATATTTTGTAGTATAATGAAATACGCATAGTTTCTGAAACTTATTTCCTTTTCTGTAATTAATAAATTGTTAAGAAAGTTTTCAAAGTTTCGACTACAATCTTTCGTTTTTAAGACGGAGGAGATTAACTGGAGATGGTTAAAAATTCAATAGAGTTAAAACGTGTAGTTATTAAAATCTTCCGTTTGCCTTAATGAATGAGTATGTCACCTTTAGATGAGGAAATAAACTATCTACTTCCAAGTAGAATTTAAGACTATATCGTATCGCTTCAATTCAATTGTTTAGTTGCAAAAGTTCAGGAGCAAGATATTATTAGGCCGTAAAGAGTAGAAGTTTATTAGTATAACAATGAAATATTAGAATATTTTCCTAACTGATATTTGAGCTACGCGTATAAGCGTATATAAATACTTTGAAATAGATACCGAGTCCTTTAATAAACATTCATGCAATAAGCGATGTTACATTTTAGATTTCAGATATTAGTATTTATAAACAGATTATATTTAAAGGATTCATTTTCTAGTATATCAAAACCTAAGATTTACTTTCAGAATGGACAGAGTTTAAAAGGGAAGGTAATTTTCTTCTTGAATTAAATCACTTATAATGTTCTCTCAAGAAAGAACAAGTTATTTCAAATTTTTATGTACTCGATTATATATACTGTGACAGAGCTCGCTCCGAAATGAATAATATTTTGATCTAATATATGTAATAATGTTATTATGGAGGTTGCCGATCTCGACAACAACCTAGTTGCTAATTGAGTTTTGTTATCTATTATCGTAATAATATACAGCGTGGATATGGTGTTAGTAATTAAAATGTCAAGCTGTGAAGATTAATTATGTTAGTTAATAAGGTGCTAATTAATAATATCCATTAGTGGCAAGTATTAAGTAACACTCGTTATGGTCGGATCTATAGTAAGCCTGTATTGCACATTATATAATTTAATGTGAAAGATTAGCACCGGGATTATTTGTGGGACACATGAAACTGTATATAAGCTTGATTATTACTAATTAATCTCAGTTCCACTGAGGCTAACGTAGAGTACACTAGTACAAACGTAAACGGGCTAGTAATAAAGATATTTATTAACCTAAACCTATCGTTTGACTCGACTACTATAGTGTAGGAATAACTTAGTTTTCCCTTACTGAGGACCTCCGGAGTTAGTCGGAGAACCATAAGAGTAGATAGACTAGTTTAGGTACGTTCACGAAAGCTGTTTTGTGACAATACTTATTAATATTAGAGGGTCTCTTAAAGCTCTTTTCTTCTGTCGATTACAATCAATCGTTTTACTAAACCTTCGCTATTAATATCGTACCAAAATTTCACCTTTTATAATTATTCATATTTACTACAAAATAGTAAGAGCTGGCAACCAGAAATACACTATGTAATTCCTCAACCTAGGGTGATTTATACAATCAATTTTGTTACATAATTTGAAATAGTGGAGCGGTTTGTCTAGGACTTACCATGCTGGCCAGATAGCAAAATTAGATATATTAACTTGTCAAATCTTAGACGCGCCCACAATTTAAAGGATTTTGCATCAAAGTTTGTAGTGATGCTTCCCATATTTGATTATAATCATAACTGTGTTTGATATATTTAGGCTTTTAAGCGTAGATATTTTGGTGATATCAATATTAGATGATTGCTAACTACTATATTAGAAATTATCGATGACTAATATTAGCCAGTTGACTGATTACGGCACAAGATTGATGTGACTAAAAACGCTGTAATTGTGAAAGTACCCAACACTGAAAGGTACTGGATATTAAAGCATAAATTCTTCATCCTTTGCAATAGTTATAATCAGCGTTTAAAAAGAATGCCGGAGCTTAGCATATTTCGATACTAGAAATGAACTAGCGTTGATTCAGCCATTTTGTAACGTATTTACTTCCGTTTAGATACTATTAGCGCTGTATTTTCAGCTGCTTAAATGAAACACTTATGAATAAAATTGAATTCTTATTGACCAAACTACCCAAGGATTAAAGCAATAAATTGATATATTTAGAAAGACAGCGATAATGAAAGGCCATATTTAGCTAGCTGCTATTTCATTAACTTAATTTGTATCGACCAAATTATCCAAGTATTGAATCAATAAAACGAACATATCGAACAAACTGCTGTTTCACTGATAAGTCCATATCTCACTGTCTCACTGATGTTTCAGTAAGAAATTACTTTTATCCCGAATTTCCATAAAATGTTGAATGTTTCTAGATACAAAAGACATCATACGAATTTATCTACTTGCGATGGAAGAACACAGTATAATAAAGTTATTTATCGTTTTGAAACCACACCGCATTAAAAGATACCCTGTCAAGATGTTTTAGTATCGTGAATTTTACACATGGATGCATAAGGCTAAAGAAGAGGTATTGCACTATTAGATACCAAAATACTACTTAGAGTCTGCAAGTGATTACATTCTTGATCATTTTGAAGATGGACATTTATATATATGCGTGCTATGCTGTATTTACGATTTGTGAGACACCAGTCAATTTATGTTCATAGTAAATTTTCGCGTATTATTTTCATAAAATACTAGTACAAACTCACGTCGCTTTGCTGACGGTTTACGATAATGTACTTATTTGTTCATAATTAACAAATAGTATTACCATTCGACATTATATCTATCCCAGTAATAGCCAGGCACTACTATATTCACAGCTATGCTTGTAGAATACTACTTTTCAATAATGCATAGACGGATGAATTGCTATGAAATGCTATATTAAGATTAGTTAATGGTCCAAAGTACATTAATGTACGGTGATGGACATACCAAGTTAAGATTAGTAGGTACTGTAAGATATCGACAGTGCGGTATAATGTCCTTTGTACTGTGATCAATTCTATACCAGTCATTATAATGGGTCTAAGGATCGCTTGCTCTGTCGATAACAACCGTTATAAGAAAATGTAACAATCAAAATGGCTGTGTAGAAAACTCTATAAAGATTCTATGTTTATTCAATTTTCATCAGAGTATTACATCAAATCAAAATTTTCAGGCGCAGTGGCCACCCTTAGCGATATAATGAATAATATTTTAAAAATCAGTACTCTGCAGAAATTACTACATTAGAGCTATTCGTTTTACTTGAAGAAATCTTGAAGTAAAAAGTACTGTAAGAATCTTATACTGACCTATTGAAATGAATCCATAATCACAGTCATCTAACAGTAGTATAAATACCCCCGCGCTGCTCGTTAAGGGTGGGTGGATGGGATTTTTGGTGAAAATAGAGCTAAATCGTTTGATTTCAGTTTTTAGAATTGTTAGTCAAATTGAGATTTAAAAAAAGACAATTATCTTTTTATTAGGAATGTTTTAACACAAAAATAATAACCACAATATAATCTAGTTATTAGAAACCGCTCAACTGCTTACAAAGCTAGTGATTAAACGGAATCAAATTCGGTAGCGGTCATTGAGACTGATGTAAAATTACTGTAATGAGTGATTATATATATAAAGTATCACAAGACTAAATAATGTATTGCAAATGACTAACAAATATAAAATTTATTGATATATTTTAGAAAAGGAAATATCTTAATCTGGGCACTTTCATAGAAAAGGATGTCTGCACCTCCTAGGACTAAAATAAATATGAATGTACTTAATTAAGAGCAAAGTATTGTGTCCCTTTACGAATAATTTTCAGTATCAGTGTGTAAATTATGGAAATAAAAATTAAGGACTTTCATATTTTTATACATATGTTAAACGTGTTTGATACTGTAAATGAGCTCAAATATGCTTTATTTTGCACAAAAAAAAACTCATTTAATTTTGTGATAAAATTTGTGCTGATGTACTCAGTCAGTTTCTGCCACAAATTAAATATTTGGACAAGATATATTTTTAAGACTATGGAATTTTTCAAAAACTAATGATAACCAGGAACTGACTTTATCATAGAGTAAGTTTTGTTGGATATAGATATAGTAAGATTACATAAATCATGCAAGCTAATTTTACGATAATATGGTTAGTTTACTCAGTAACTGCCTATAAACTATATTTATTAGTAGACTATCTATCTGCACCCGTTGGTGACAAACGAAAAGCTACTTCTTTCCGACTTATGATTATTAAATCTATTTACAGTAGGTTATAAAATTAAATACACCACAGGTTTCGTAGCGTAAAATTTTAAATACCGAATGTCCTTCTCCTCCCATAATAAACAGTAGGAGCTCGCTAGTAACTGCTATTATAGATATCTTGATTTATGTAAACTATTACCGGTATTTGTTATAGACAGTTAAAATAACTTCCTGCTAGTCTTAATTCAAAATTTATCAACTTACAAATTACTTGCAAAAATAGTAATAAATCCCTGAAGCATGATTACAATTATAAGGAGTATTCTTAAAGCAAAGAGTAGCGGTTTTATCGCATTCACAGTTAGCTCGATCACAAGTACCCACGGAATCCTCTGTTACATTATAGAAAAAGATAATGGTATTAACGGAAGAGAAGACAAGTCTACGATATAATTGATTTTATAGCTTGTGTAGTTTAATTTCAAGCGTGGTCTAGTTAAGAAGATACTTTCGTTATAACTTGATTGACTAGGAAGCAATTCAAGGTAAAGAATGAAAGTCATAAAGATTCGAGAAAAATTGACTTTTACGTACATATTACTTACTACAAACTATTTCGCCGTTATCGTTTTGATCCCAAGAGTAGTGGTTTACCACTGCCCACTGCGAACCTGTACAGCCTGTTTTTTCGTAACATTTATCATGATTTTTGCAACAAGTATCTAGTTCATCGACAGGATCAGGATTACTTCCGTAAGGACCAAGACCACACCAGTTACCGTATCCAATAAAAGCAATAGGATTACGATCGATAAATGTGTATAGCATCGAGCCAAAGTTGAAAGCGCTTTTATCAATACGTTTACTTTCACTCAGTACTACAAATGTTGTAATTAAAATAGCAAGAATCTTCATGATTGTAATGTAATCTTTCTGATCAGATATATGTTGCGATAGTTATTAATTAACGAACTCCTTATATCATCTGAATACCGATAGTGACAATGTAAATTGACGTGAGATTGAACGGACTTATAGTTAGTTGTAGTTAATTATAACAAATATTATCACGATATAGTTGATTTACAAGTACAGCTTATATAATTTATATGACTCAACGCGGTCAAAAAGTTGTCAGTATCAGTATTTTCTCATCAATTTAAGCCTTTAGTATACTAAATTTAGTTATTAATTCGGTCATAGCCCAATCAAGATCCTGCTGTTGTAGATAAGCCTGCAGGCTACGGGTAATTATAATTAACATTATTGTTAGTGTTTATTGTTTCTAGAGCTTTTTGAATCAAGAGAAAATAGCAGAGATAAATAATACGATTATTACTAGTTCGATGGCTTACTAACTATACTATTAAAGTGATTTTATTGGCAGTAATTAATGTATAGAAGGGATTACCAGTATCTGTTAATACAGGAAATAATCAGATTTCATTAATGTTTTCTAATGTTGAATCGGTCTATTCCTTAACAGTCTTTAATCCACTAATTTACTGATCGCAGAGACGAGAAATATACTTTGCTTCTACGCTTTCGTAAAATAGTCGCTTGAACTCATTTCGCTACTATAAGTAATCAATTGTTATAATATAAGAAATTATAGCTTGTGTATTGTACTAAGAATTCTTGTCTTAAAGGTTAAGAATAGCTTGAGGTCAATAAAATCCGGCGGGAATTAATCGAGAAAAGAGACTAAACTGTCTTTGTTCGTCTTAATGAATGATACTATCGTATGAGACAAAGTACAGTATAATCTCTATTTACTGTAGTTTTATCGTTTTTCTTGCGGCAGATACCGTGTATAGTAGTAATTAATAATAACCAGACATGTACTGCAGATCCTTCAATATCCTCAATTTATTTAGTTAAAGTTAAAAGTTACCGACTAAAAAGATCGAGTCTAATCATTAACTCTACACTAGCTCTGTCTCTAACTTAGCTTGTACAGCCTTAAATGATGCCAATTTTATGCATTCATATTCTAGTATAGATTACTAATTTAAGACACTATATAAAGAACTACAGTATATATGTAAATCATGACAATTAATACTAAGGTTAGTCATTACTTCAGAAATAATACCATACATGAACATAACCCGTGTAAGACTCACTAATATGTAAATTTTAATATTAATATTGTGGCAGAGTAACGATCTCAACTGATATTTAATAACTATAAATTAAGGAGGCAAAGAATGTTATTACAGTATTTACACTCGCGATATACGTCTGTATCTATCGTAATTTCTCTCGTTTTAGGCTTGATTGGTTATTATAAGTTGATTGTATCGATATTCTAAAGTTAAAACTATTTTAGCTATGAATAATGGAGCAAGTAATCTTAATTTTAAAGCATATCTAAACCATATAATTCAAGTCTAGGAGTAGAACGAGCCTTACTATAAAAAAGTTTAATTATAGTAATGTTACTTAACACACCAGAACATTCGATAAATTTTAAAATTTTCGTTATACTTTACTGTAGCCTAAGCACTAAAATTCGAATAAAATCGACAGTGAACTGCGAGAATAGTACATGAAGAGGAAAGAGAGACTGATGATAAAAAGATACAGGCAACTTTTCAAGAGAATATAAACGAGCATTTTTATCACGATGAAACAAGTGTTGATTAAAGATAGTGACGATACTAAAGTATTATTAGAGGGTTTAATTACTTAACCCTAATTAAGGTTTCTGTATTATTTAGCGACCAGTAAGATTACTAAATTACGCTTGCATAGACATTGATGTATTATTCTATATTGGCAATTATTACGTTATATTGATCGGTAATATCATTAGTAATGTAAATATTGATGTTTTGCAATACTAATGATTGACTGCTTTTTAACAATATTGTAAGATACGAAGTCATGCATTTTCGTTGCATTTCAAATAGCTGAGTTATTATTAGAGAATAAATGTCTTGTAGCTGAATAGTATATAACATATATATATATATACGGTAGCTCTCTAAATGAAATTGTAATGATATGTTGATTTCGAAATCTATTTACTTAACGATCGAGGAATGCAGACTTACTTAATTGGATTAATGTAATTCAAATAGTGTCAAGATGGATCCATTGATAAGTTATCGAATGGAAAATACAGAAGTAGAAAGCGCTTATCATGAACATGGAAGACGCAGTTTAAGAGCCTTTTACTCAGATTCCTTTTATTTTTCTAATTGCTAAATGACAGTTCAGAATTGAGCTACTGATACAATCAGAACTACAAATTTTTACCTATTTTGAGGAGTAGTTTATTTTTAGGTGTAAAAAGTGATAATTCATGTCTAACAATGTATAAAATATTTGCTAATTGTTCAATAAAGGAGTACTATAACCCAGTTTTACAATTATAAGATCATGATTATCCGATATATTTCTGTTTAGGTGTATGGATTGCCTTGATATTAGGAAATGATTTCGCTTCTTTCTCTCTAAAATAGAAGAGTAATCGTAAGGATGTACGTAGAACTGTTATAAGCTAGTGTAGATTTTATTTCTATCCTTAAAATAATTATAAATGTTGCTTCATTAATCAAAATGATTATTGGATAATTGAAAACTATATTAGATTAAATTATATGAAATTTAAGCTAAACTAGATCCTTACAGAGCTTAACAGAACAATTTGTAAGATAGAGGAGCGTAGTCGCAGTTGTATGGGTAGGAAGCGAAGCATTCAGCAGCAACTCTGTCGCATTCGCAGTTAGCGCGGTCACAGGTACCCCAGGCATCGTCTATAATTTTAAAGCAAATGTGAATCTATCTAATAAACTATCTCAAGATCGATAATATGATCTATCGCCCACATTCAATCGAATAAATCAAAGTTAATTTATCCTACAATACATCCAATATTTGCAGTAATGTATATTGGAATTTAAATAACAGTAGTATAACAAAATTACCGCAAGTGATGCGGCCAGCAGAGTTTTTGTGCCAATCGTATGGGTTAAGAACTTCCCATTGCAAAAGGTTGCAACCAGTATCGCTATAGCAGTTGTCATGAGATCTGCAGCACTCGTCGATCTTGTCAACTGTTGCTGGGGTACTGAAGTAAGGTCCAAGACCGCACCAGTTACCATAGCCGTTGAAAGCCAAAGCACTACGGCCAGTAGTGTAAGAGATCATAGATTGGAAGTTAAGTGCACTACGGTCGGCATTTTTGGCCTCGCAGGCAACGAAGAGAGCGGCGATAACAAGGCAGAAAACCTTCATGATGATTTCTTTCTCTTTTTACACACGTCCTGCAAACGCTATGCTAGAAGATAGAATAAACTCGACGTTGGTAGGTAGCATCTTTATATAACTTTTCATCCGGAGATGTTTGTTCAAGTAACTAGTATTAATCTGAACAAATATTGAATTATTTGTGGAATTAAAATAAAAGTAGGTGGGATCTAAAATTAATCTGTAACTAGTCCATTTTGGAATTAGATGGGTTTACTAATTACAATTGATTAATTATCTACTGAAGTCGAACTGCTTAAATATTTACGATTGCGTAATAGTATGAAATAAAAATTCAGTTTCAAGCACTATGCTTATACTGTTATATTATGGCCGCTAAAATGGATTTTATGCAAAGGCATGGAGTCATTCGATATAGGGAAATAATTAAGAGACCTATAAAGCTATACAGCATTGGATGTATATCGGATTAAATGCCAATTACATCTATTTTCGATCGAATGTAATCGATATTGAGTAATACTCTTATACTATAAATATTAAATGTTCATTTTTAATTATTGTACTGCTACAGTTTAGAATATTGTACTAGAAAGTCATAAAGTTTATATGGGCTTGTATGTCCAATTATCTATCGAAACAGAAAAGTGGATAATACGTATCTTTAATTTTTATTGTGTAAAACTATTGAAATTAAAATGGAATCTCATTATTTGATTTGCCTTTAGTATTTAGATGATATATAGATCAGGATTAGATTAGATCTAGGTTCATATTCGAGTAATTTAGCTTAGTCGTATTTCACATAGTTAATAATATCGGCGGTATACACGTATGCGTATACACGTATTTCGGCATTAGTATATGGATTATATCAGGTTGATATCTCTTACTGGGCAATCTTAGATCGTATTTTGTAACGGAATGATTGAATCTATAATGTGATAAAGGTATAAGCTACAACAGCCCAAATTTATTAGAAACTGCATGTCTAGAATATTCTACCTGGCTCATCATTATATGAGTATATTCTGATTCCATTTGGTAACGTATCTCTGGCGGCATACGCGTATTTTAATTCGATTATCTAATAAGCTTATTTTTGGATGATTTGAAGTTCTTTGGAGTTTATATTACAGAGTTTTTCTCCAACTTTGTACGCAATATCTGGTTGTTCTTAGCATTATAGATCAGTAATATTTTCTTATACTATGTTACACATTACAATGGTATAGCGAACGATACTTCTATTAAGCGAATATCATACTATCATTATAATGGTAATAGAGATTTTACTTGGGATAAATTAAAATATAACATATAAATATAAATGATACATTATATATAACCTATTATTATAATTTGTGCATCATTTTTTTCTCCGTACAGTATGAGTGCAGACTATATTCGATGTACCTTAAATGGAAACGTAAATAAGGATTATAATTATTAGTAAGTCAGCAAATCAGCAATATAGGATCGCGCTATTATGGAAGCTTCTGTATCACTTTATTAGTTACTGAAATTACAGAAATCGCAAATTGTAAATTTTTATGTAGTGGATCTTGATTGCAAAGGATAAAATTATAAGGAATACGAACGGGTAGGTGGCAATTGGACAATATGATCATGTAGACCAACATCAATTACAGTAGTTACTTAAAATCGAGGCATTGAAGCCAGTACTGTAGAAGATCATTGAGTGGAAGTTTAGTGCACTACGATAGGAAGACATTTTTTGCCTTGCAGGCAAGTGATCAACAATAATAAGGTAGAGATCTGTTTCATAATAACCTTCTTTTACATTCATCTCTTATAGATGTGCAACCATAATATAGAGAGAGCATCGGTAAAAGCTCAATCGCCGATATCACATTTAAATCTCTTATTAGCTTCATCATACAGAATTTCAGGTTGTTAAAATTGATGTTAGATCATCTCGATTGGGGCTGGATTAAGCTAGAAATATATTATTAAAATGTATTGATGGCATCTGACAGTAATTCAGGCTTATCTTGTTATTATTACAATAAAATTTATAGGACTATCCCCCCTTATGTTAACAAATCTATTACTTATAGCCAATTAAAACATGATAGGTAAAATAAACACAGCATGAAAGGCTTTGATGACCGATTTAGTCATGTCAATAATTCTTATGTAATAAGCCAGAAATATTTAAACGGCAATAATAAGAAATTACGCTTGCTTATCTAGTAGAAAATTGATTAATTCTTAATTTGAGTTATTTATGAATTAGCCCATATTTGTTTTTCGTTCCGTGATCTTATGCATTAAGATTTATCTGTTATGGTAATTTTTTCTTCATAAAATAAAATGGAATTAAAAAATATAATTGCTTTTCTCCGTATCACTAGTTAGCATACTATTACAGCAATTTTGTGAGAGTATTATCCGCGTAAACTATACAAATAAATGTTTTCTGGTAAAGAAAAGCTGTCTATCATACTTTAGTAGTGTAATCAAATTGAAAAATGGAGCTGCACTGTTAGAGTCTTTGCATAAGGCAAGAAATTTCGACTTGTTCGAATTGCATTGATTATGATTATACGTAAGGGGTCATTTCAGTTTAGAGTGAAATATAATTGATTTATTACTACGTAATTTACGACAATATTACTGATAAAATTAAGTTCTTTTAATTGATAGATTGTGATATCAAAAAGATTAGTGCCGTATTTTAATGTCTAATTGAAAAACAAAGATCTACAAATGAAATTATATTTACGATAGAAGCTTAATACTTCAGTAAACATTAAGTAATTAGTGAAATGTCAATGATAAAACCCATTAGTAATTAGATACTCACCTAGATACTGATTCAATTTACGGTATCTGTTTAGTAGTATTCTTGCTACTACAGACTAAGATCATATGTTGACCGAGGATTAAATAAACTTTGCTAGTGAATAGATCTTTTCATCTTGCTTAGTTTACTTTGCTATAATTAATAAAGTAGATATTTCAATAGTTAATACACTCATTAGCACGTTTGATCCATTATTTTTAGATAGATCTATCTATTTTCGTGTACCTAGTATGGATATAGTCGGGATTAAGACGGATCGTAATCAAGGGATATAAACGGTAGAATAAATCTCCTCCTACTTTGTGGATAGTCGTGATAATTCAGTTACTAATGATGCATTATGTATTCATGTTAATGTCAATAATGACTGAACGATGTGACAGCTAATTAGATCGGAACTTGATTAAGATTTTTTCTCTTAAGTAAGGCTATAGATTAATTATTTTTTATTTATATTTTATGATAAAATCTTCATAGGCCAAGTTCATGCTTGTTATTCGTTTTGTTTTCCTAATAAAGTTCCTATCCCGATTTACATGTTTATTGTTCAAGATTTCTTTACTACAATGAATTCTTTTCCATTTATCCATCTCCGTTTAGATGAAATTATTTATCTACGGTTTATTTTGAGAATCAGGAGGGAAAATTACTTTGATATGACCGTCAATTTTTATACGGTATACACTATGCACATTACCATCATCAGCGATCTAGTGTTTATTTACGGGTTAAATTTATGCGTATAAATCACCTGAGTGAGAAAGAAATATTATATTTTATGGGATAGATCAAGTGAGATCCTTATTTGATTGGCCTTCAAAAATATACACACCTTCCTGGACTATTGTATTATACGTAGTAAATTTTACTTTCGCGTCACCCAAGCTTAACCAGTATTATCATTTTTTAATATAAAGTTATACTATGGCCAGGCAAAGTCTTATCTAATAAAATCGACAGAGCAAAGAATATCGAGATTTATTGCATGTTCAGTGTTGTATCTCTTTCTATATTAAACGCTTTCTGGAAGAATTTTATCTAATTTTGCATGACATCTTGTCACCGTTAAGTTAATTCAGTTTCAGTATACTGCAAAGTCATAGTTTGCTTATGTAGGCATTAAATAATAAAGTGATAACTTTTCAATCTCACGTTGTGAAGTATCTGCTATAAAAGCAAGTTGAAGATGTATTATAGAATTATAGTATTTGTCACTTTTATTAATAACTCCTTACTGGTTTTCCTTATTGAAAAGGAATTAAGATTAAAAGCTGGCAATAAACGTGAAATGATCGATATATTTTTCAACGATAACTTACCTTAAGCTGCCTAAATGTTTACGTTCTATTACTTTAAATGTTCGATTAGAGGGAATATAATCTTAAAGTTAGTGCAAATAGTGCATTATTATTAACTAGTCAGGATATGTATCTATAACAGATACCTTAATGGGTTTTCCTGAGAGTTTTATAATGCTCTCATAGTAATATAAGATAGAAGCTAAGATATGTGTACCAGTGTAGTGGACTAGGCAGAATAAAATGTTTTAGAGAACAGTAACTGATGATGAAGCAGCTCAAGTGCAGCATGCTTAATTTTGGAATTTCATGAAATATGAGCCTTAATTACAGTAGCTGCAAGGACGCTACAAACGGTAATTTATTTTAACTAGAATGTAGATTCGAACAAGTTATTATTACTATCAATTTACGGGTTTATTACTGAGGATAATACGATGTTTTACTGCGATCGTAGGTTTATAGCTCCTGTATATTCTATGTAGCGGCAGATAATTATATTAACGTGTTCATCAGTGCTCAGCAGCAAATAAAAAATTAAAGTCAGCTTTTAATGTCGTTCAGTAAGAGTGGAATATGTATAGCGAAGGCCTTGCTTTGATAACTTACCAAGATACTTCTAAAAGATCTAATCAAGAATGAATAATGTCACCTAAAGTGAATATCTGGAGGTAAAATTTTAACAGCTTTACTGTGGAAAAATAAAACTCCTGAAATTATTTTCCATGCTTTTTCGCATCACTACAATAAGTATTAGATACAAATATAATTTCTTCCCTGAAAAAAACTAGCTTGGTAGCTGGCTTGACTTTTCATAGAAATGATTTTTTACTAGAATTTTACTCTGAGCGAAATAATTAAAAATGCATTTCGCTATGGCTAATTATTTATCCGTTGAAATTCGTGACTTGGTATCTACAAGTAATGGAGTAAATTGATAATTTCGGACCATATTTATTATTGATTTATCTTTAAATAAAAAATTTGTTTGAAATTTAAGAGTAAATTTTGAATTCTGTAGAAAGTTTAAGCAACTTATCCGAAACTTTACACTATTCAGTACACATTAGCGCATACTAAAAATATTAGTCTGCTTCCTTTAGGATAAGAACACATAAAAATTTTGTCCTAAGGGGTTCTGGAAGCATTATTTTATTATGGTAGCTAAATACGAATTCAGTACTTTATTTTGAGACATTGGAATATTTTAATATATTCGTTATTTTCACCATCATTCATAATTACTTATATTTGATAAATTCGAAAGATAGAATATTAGAGCTGCATACAAAAGTATAGGTATGCTGGTTTTATTAACTACTGTATCCGTTACCAAGACATGTAAGAACTGAATCCTAAATTTATACTTAATAATATGTTGGCAAAGTATTTAACTATGAATCAAAAATTATTTGCTATGATATATCAATAGAATAGGATAAAAAGTTGCTCTAAAATTAAAACTACATAGAGTTCATGCGCATAAGCATGCAGATATAAATAAAATAAATTAAAAATAGAAAATATTCAATCATTAATCCTAGGTAGTTTATGGAAATTTTTGTACCCTTTGCTATTCGTTTCCAGGAAAAAAGTATAAGATTCCATTCGAATTATGAAATTACCATTTTTAGATTTTAGAAAAATTTATCGCGTAAATTACGGATGATGGTGTAATATCTCCGATAGATGTACAACCTGAAATTATCATTAAAATTCAATAGTTTAATCGGTGTATTGCATTTAGGTAGTAAGTACGTACGTAAGAAAGTATTATCAGTTATATATTTAAATAAATGTTGAATTATAATTATCAAAACTACTGAATAAGCAAATGCTTATTTGTCTATTTCAAAGCTTTCGTAAACTTTAAGATTTTACGTGAATCTTGCTATAGATTTAAAGAGTAATACTATTCACCATTAACTGAAAGATTTTATAAATAATTCCCCACAAATTTTATAGAGTATTGTCTCCAGTAGTAGCAAATTGCCCATACTTTGCAATGTATACCTCCAGGATAATTAGCATAGGAAGCCTTCCTACTTTGTTAGATCATAGCTAGTTATTCGATAATTTAATTCTTTAGATCAGAATATTTTAATGTATTATCTAGCTTGTGATCTTCATAGCAATTCGAGGGTACGTTACAACTGCTAAATACGTATAAGGGAGGTGTTCATATTCTATCTGATGTAGTAACGTTATCCAACATATTAATTGCAATTATCACTTAAGAAGTGTCTCATTTCCTGTAATTGTTTAATAACTAACCTGCCAGCTGCATAGTTCTCTGGAGCTCTTCTTTCAGCAGTTGTAAAACTTTTTTCACGCCGTCAGAGCCCTACAATGAGTTAGAGTAACTAAAACTTACATGAATTGATTACAGGAATATAAAATTGCTTAGATTGCAACATGGATAGATCTGTCAAGAGGATTGGCGTCTTCGACTTGGCTAATGGCTACACTAGCACAATGCAAAATAATTGACCGTTCTGCTATCCTTAAGTTAGTTAATGTTAAAGTCACAATATTCGGACGCTACAAATATTCATAGGTAATTATTAACAACAATTCCGACATAGTGCAGGACTTAATTCTATTAATGATGTTGTTGGAGATGAGATAGTTATTTCATCTAGTAAACAAAGTAATTTATAGGATTAATAGATACATTTTACTGTCTTACGTTGTAGCAAAGACCCCATAATATCGGTCTGCCAATGAAAACAGCTCGAGCACCTAGTGCAAGTGCCTTAAATACATCGGTCCCGAGACGAAAACCTCCATCGACATAAATTTCTGCTTGTTCTTTAACTGCTTCGACAATTTCAGGAAGAACTTCAATCTAATCGCACATGTATTAATATTTAGGTTGTATGATTTATAATGTTAATAACGTATTTGAATTAGATAAACAAAATTCTAAGTTAAATAGAAAGATTTTGTAGGTTTTGGAAGGTATTTTACATACTGCAGTAGGGACGCCATCTAATTGTCGACCTCCATGATTTGAAATCCAGATAGCCTTGATGCCTCTCCTAATAGCTTCGCTAGCATCTTCAGCGGTTAGTATGCCCTTAACAATAACCTGTAGCGAAGTTATAGTTTGCAGCCAGCTTATGGATTCCCAGGTGATTGAACCGTCAATTTGCATTTGGTAATTGTTGCTCCATCCACTATTCTCGACCTCAGTATCCACACCTTTGAATGAATTTGATGAAAAATTGGCAAGATGCAAATGCGGAGGTAAATCAAATCTAAGAAAAGGAGAAATAATTATAAGCTTGTAGCATGGACTGCCGTTACTAAATAAGGACCTGGATAGTTGTAGTTAGCGTTGATTACGATTGTTTACAGTGCTTCTTTTGAAGTACATTCAATCCTTATGTTATCACTAGTTAGAAACCATATGATATAGGGCTTAATTAATAATGCATAAAATCTGGTCATAACATTATTATAAATCGCTAACCCTTGTCTTATTTCTTTTCTTCTATTACCAGCCACAGGCACATCTACTGTTACTACTAAAGCTTTAAATCCAGATCTTTCAGCTCTGTGAACAAAATTTCGTGTCAATTCGCGATCTGGAGAAACGTAAAGTTGGAACCATCTTAGTCCGTCTCCTGAAGCAACCCCAACGTCCTCGATTGAAGTAGTGCTATATGTACTTAGGGTCATGCAGGTTTTCATAAATTTAGCAGCTATACCGTTAAAATAGAAGAACTTTTAGTTAATAGCGTAGAGTATGTCTACAACTAATTCTGTTGTAATCATTAAATCATGATATGACAAATTATAATCCAGTGCTATGGATAAATTTTAAGTTATTAGTATGCATGTGATGCGTAAATCGATTAAAGAAGGATTGGTAGTAACAAGTCTATAGAGTGTTGACCAGTAATATGCAAGAGTTTATTATAATTTAGAGGCGGCTATAAATTCTTTTTAACCTTGAGCTGTTGCAATTTCACCATCCGGATGAGCTAGCTTTTGCATGGCAGTAGGTGATATTCCAATTGGCATTTCAATCTTTCGACCAAGAATTGTGGTAGATAAATCCACGTTCGTTACATCGATCAGCATTCGAGGTCTGATTCGAATTCTTTCGTTATGATTGTTTAAGAGAAAGAAAAGGATTATGATCATCAATTTAAGGCGATAGGGCAATAGTCACAAATTGATTACAGATTATTTGGAAAGATATATCTCAATAATGCTATCTAAATGAATAATAGTAATAGCCGTAGACTGCATTATCTACATACGCATAAGTCTTACGATTAATTATCAATATAATTATTAGAACTAATAGATGTCAAGTAAAGCTTTCTATAGCCTACGATCTACTGTACTTTCAAATTATTCCAGGCATTCAAATCAGATTGTGACGGAGATAATACCGTTGTGAATGATATTAAAGTGCTGATGGGACATGATGCAACAGATTATACTTCCCATAGTAAAAATCTTAAAACTTTAAAATGCAAGAATTACAACAGCAAATGATCGAATAAATTATACGTGCAAGAGAATTAGGCCTTCCTACAGCATGGCTGTGTCAGTTTAAGTAAAAATTTAGCAGAATGTTGATGTACAGTATACACTATTCGAACATCTTTCGTGATTATTTCCATTAATTCTACGTATCATTGCTGCTAAAAATTAAATATAGATATTTTAAGGCAACTTTGCTTCCATTTGCTTTAGATATAATTGCTGCTAAGGATCAAATACAGGAAAATAACTTGATTGCAACTTGAGGACAAGAATGAATGAATAGTAAATCTCATTGACTAGTAAGATAGGATGACGAAGTAGGCCAGTCTAGTTAGAATTGTAACTTGATTCAATTCTGGTATAAAGAGAAATTATCTTAAATACACTGTTTAGACAAAAATATCTACCTTTTGAATATTTCAACGTTATCTCGTAGTGTTTCCTCATCATCTGCTCCAACATTATAATAACTTAAAGCATTCTTACTTAAATTTTCGCTTGCAAACTGTTCAATGTCTCGAATGCATAGCGGTTGCATTTCGTGTAGCTAAGAACGGATAATATAATGGTTTATTATACGTATGTATCAAATAGCTATATAAGTATTTTTGTAATCGAATATAGTCTTTTATATCCTTCTCTGGCCGGTTTAAACGTAAAAGTCAAGTTATATCTTGGCAATTAGTCCCAATTTTGTTATTTAATTGCAGTCACTACGCCCTTAACTTTCGAGGGCGTTTACCAGGTCTAAAAGCAGCATATGGTACTTAAGCTGATATGGAGTCATAGTACAATTAATCGTGTTAGAACACTCCTATAGCCAGTTTAAACATCCTTTCTACTTCGGACAGATGGCCATCAACGACGCAGCAGATTTATTCATAATATGGAGACCCAAACGTGACCTGAGATAACAGGATACAAATAAGCAATCGTCGAGGAACGCTGGTATAAATCAGAATTCTTCCAAGCCATCCGCTAACACAACATAATATTTCAATCAAGAAAACTAGTTCAATAAAAATTTCTTTCTTTCCGAAATACTATACATATATATTTTTAAAGCTTGTATAATTTATTGATTGTAAATTACAATCGACCATTTTACAAGGATAAATTTTTAATTTTCTGGCAAAGTCCTATTCTATCGTTTTATGTTATTACAAACTACCTAATTTTTATCCCAGAAACTGACAAAGTAAAAATATACTATTTCATTTCGAAATGTATGGATAACTTTAATACTTGTATAAATTCAACTGGTGGTAAATTATATTATAATCTACTAATTCACAAAAATTAATTTTTAATTTTCTCGGAAAATGCTATTTTATCGTACAATTTTTTGGAAAATTGCATAGTGATATGTAGAGGAAGGATGAGTGGAAGTTATCTATTTTTTCCAGAAAATAAAATTTGTAGTAGTTAAAATTCACTACTTGCAGAATGTCATCTATGATAAGAATGAATTATGTAATTATGAATTTCATTGGAATGGTCCTATATTTGTTGTAAATAGTGTTAGATATTACGATATAGGTTACATTAGCTATTAGATAGAGCGTTAAGTATATGATTAGAATATCATCTATATAAGTACTTATAATATGAAGACTTGTATGTAGTCTTGCAGTACCGTACATGATTATATTGTAAAAGGAGGACTGATAATTTATTATAGATAACCATTTGCATATGTTGTAAAGTAAACGATAGCTGCAATAGTTAGTAATTAGATTTATGTGTAAAATGCCAGGACGCAAAAAGGCAAAAGGTGTAAGCTGGAATATCTATAAATACCCAGCATTTTTTAATAATGAAGTTGGTTACAAATCTTACTTGCGGAGTAGAACTCATTGCATAAAAACATAACAATATTCACAGTAGATTTAAGTGTATTTTTTGGTAGGTATGAAGGAAAACATGAGAGATCCCTAGTGTTAGGCGATTCCTATCGGAGTGAATACGTGATAATTCAGGTTCGATACTATCTTTCTTGTAAATTAGTAATGGGACAATCTCAGTTTATTGTGCTTTCAGAGTACGTTAAAGAATGAAGTTATCGCAAAATCTGGAAATTGGTAATGGTTAAAGAAATTATTACACAAGGAATTTACAATCATGCTAGTAGTATTACTTTTCTTAAAATTTATTTAAGAAGATTATAACAGAGCATTACAAGTCAGTAATCTGAGTCTATATTTTGCACGTCCAGTTTACAACAGTAGTAGAAGTTAAGAAAGATTAAATAATCATATAGTCTCAATATGATCTACTAAAAATGAACTGATTGTAGACATAGAATTTTGCAATGCCGAATGAGCACTTTGTAATGTTGTTTCTGTAACAGCAGATATCGTTTCAATACATGGATCAACTCTATGTTATTTTTACAAGTATGATTGAAAATTTTGAATCATATCGTTTACGCACTGTTATTTACGCCATTAAATGAATTAAAATGCCTAACATTTGATACCAGAAAAGAAATACTCCGAATTGAAATTAAGAAAAACAAAACATTTTGTCATAGACATCTGGTAAAGCTTTATCAAATCATATAACATACTACGGTTTGGTTTTATACATAGTTTAATAAATAATTTTAATACCAATAGGCATAGCTACGGCTGGTAGATTTAGCTCTTAAAATTAAATGCTTTGTTTAATTATAATCATTTTTGTAATAAAAACGCTTACTGTGCTAAATCTTGAGCAAGCAATACTAAAATTATACTGGTATAACTGATTATAGATCTTAAGACAGTCATTACCAATTACTAAATTTTTGTTAAATGTAAGGTGATCCATATGTCATGGACATTTATATGCAATAAAGACGTTTACAAATTCAGTATAATTGCATTGTTGTGGATTCAATCAATATTCATTATGGAGTCACGATTTGTAAGTCTATAGTGCGACATAAAGAATTACGAAATTGACCATTTTTAACGAGCTTATTTGATATGCAGTTTATTGAAAGTGATTAAAACATAAAGTTATCTTGCAGAATGAGAATCATAATATTTTTATTTTATAATACAGATCAGGTTCCATGCCTTATTTTGTAATGCTGAATAATTTCTCTAAAGTGTTTGTCTTCGTTTTCGAGATATCCACCTGAAAGAATTAGAAAAATACAGTAAATTTCATATCGAAACATTGAAAGTACAGTAACGTGAAAAAAATTTTTAAAAGCACTGAGATTTTTTATAATTAACGACAGAGATTTTTTTACTCGAAGTTAGCAAGGAGTAGTAAGGTTTACATAGCACTAATACTATGTAAAAATCGGTTAAATTCGAAAATTTATACGGAATAAAATAATTCGTAAATTCAAAAGTATAAGCTTTATGAGGCTTGTTTCCTGACCTGACTTGGACTTTTGTTATAGATTAATGCCAGCTGGTCTTCCAATAGTTTAATTTTTAGTTTTAATCTTTGCTTTGCACGATCATAGGCGTTGATAAGTTCGTGATTAGATCTTTTTAAATCTTCTATCAATTCGTCATTATACTGATATTTCGTTTCAGTTAATAATTTAATTTGCTTTAAAGATTTTTTGAATTCATTTAAAGTAATTACATTTGCTTGTCTAAGTTCGTCTTCTGGTGAGCGTGTTGTTCGCTTAACAAATTCATAAATATATTATATTAGAATTCAAGTCTTATATGATATTTCATGTCCGTTAATCTTTCAACTTACCCTTCTGTGTTGTTTTTCTCTCGTTGTTGGGTTTGCAATTTGAAAAGAATTATTGCTTTCATCGATTACGATGACTCCACTATCCAAGCTTCGATCATTACTTCTATACGAAGTATCGGAACTGGATGTGAGAAGTTGTTCCAACTTCAGATTATGGACGTAGTCTTTTTCACGATAGATCTCCAAAGTCAGTTGTAAAATTTTCTTTTCTTTCTCTAATATATTAGTTTTGTATTTTAAATTAATTATGTCTTCTTTTCTTGTTACGTGATCCAGCAAATGTACAGCAGTATCAATATCTAAGAGATCATGTTGCTTTAGCTTATTTGATAGAGTGCTTAAGATACCCTCCATAGATATTTGCTCTACATTAGGCGGTACTACTCTAAGCGTTGTCCTTTTATCGATTAATTTTCTAGCATATGATTTCAACCTCTTCTGATCATCCATACTCAACGTATTATTGAATACCGCTGAATTTTCATTCGACAATTGACTAACCGATGTAGTCTTACTATCACTAACAGCGTTGAAATCTTTCAGTAGAACTATAGCTGCGTCTTCGATGTTTCGTCTTCTGTCCACCCAGTGCTGCAAGTAATCACTGCTTTTATCTAAATTATAGTAAGATCTTATTCTATCTGATGAAGTTAACATGCTAGATTTGATGCCTAACGATCTACATTGGGATAACATGATGCGCAGATCACATTCAAATAATGAGGCTAGAAGTTCGTAGATTTCTAAAGATCTGTCTGTGTACTCTAACGCCGATCTCAGAATTGCACAGTTTGATTCGTATTTTCCATTAAGTACGGTCAAAGCACTTGCAATTTCTTTACACTCTTCAATGGCCAAGAGTAAAGCGTTGTTATCAGCCGTTAATTCATCGATTTTTGTAGTTAAGGACGTATGATCAGATACTGCTTGCTGCATCTTGGCTTTAACAACGTTATCGACGTAATCCATTAGGCCATGAAATAATTCCTCGTAGTTAGTGCAACGGTGAATTATTAATAGTAATTCTTTATAATGCAATTGCGAAAAATATTCCTGTGTGATAACATGATAGAATTTGTTTAGCTAAAACCACATGGTAGTAAAATAATACTAAATTAAATGTTTAAACTAAGAGTAATAAGTAAAGAATGAAGTAGAAATATACGTAGTACAGTATTTTGATGATCTTGTTTGCAGTAATCGATATTTTAAATTCTGTTAAACGTTGACATTGTATTGTTAATGAGAAATTTTTCTGTCGACTTAACTACAGAGCCTATACAATATTAGTACTCTACAAAAAATCAGACTTGTTACCTCGATACTTTCATTGTCATTATCCAAATTATTCGATTTAGTGTTGCTTGATGCACTTAAATAACTGGAATCCAGTTCAGAAGGCTGAAATCTTTTGAGAACCATTTCGTTTATAAAACCATGCATTGGGCTATCCTGTAACATTTTCCTTTCTTGTCGGTCATTTTGCTTAGACGTTGCATTCTCTACGTTAACGTGGTTATCTCCACCTGTAAACTGTAAATAATCGCTAAATCCAGCTGATAATCGCTTGTTTATATTGCTCGCAGCGCAATAATTTGCATCATTAGAATGAATTTCGTTCAATTGAAATGATGGACTTTCAAGGCTATTTCTTAGCATTTCATTGGATACGTGGCCAGAATTATTTAAAGAATCCACTCTCTGGAAGATATTTCTACCATTATCTTTGCAAGCATTTTCTTGAGTGGTGAAAGTATTGATTTCTTTTTTTCTGCTTGCAGCTATAACACTACTAGAATCTTGAGTTACGTTACCCCAATCAGGGCTAGTAGCTGTTCTCATCATTGAATTTTCACCAGTGGTTATCGACATGTCATTTTGGCTTAGATCTGACGCAATCATCTTAGAATAATGTATCTAAATCATTTTTGAAATTGGAATTATCAGAATAACCATAAAGGACATAAATAGCTTTAAACTGATTTAATCCGATTACAAGTAGCGTCATGATTTCATTTTATTGATTGCTCTATAATAAGAGCTATGTAGTAAATAATTCTTCAACATACTTTCCTCTCGAGGTCTTCTTTTTCTTTTGCTAAGTCCGTATAGGATTGACGGAGATTCTTCATTGCCTGAATTACAGACATGCATAACATTAGTATTCGTATTTAAAATAAGAACAGCTTTTACTTAGGTACATGGATCAATAGGTATTTTGGTACGATTTTTATATCTTTATAACGCCTTTTGGTAAAAAATTTGAAATAATTTCTATCGAAATTTGAAACCGTTAATACGCTCTCTAGCACGCATAAGAATTATCGCATGATAACAGCTTCTTAAATGGATTAAAATACGGTATGTAATGTACAGTGATACTTACATCTATAAGTTCTGTTCTTTCCATAATTTCATAATTTAAATTTGGTGATTCTAAAGGTATGAAATAACGACAATATTTAGCAGTCCAAAAGCAATATTTAAATTAAAAATTAATTCAAGTGCATGTTACAAAGCGATGATTAGCTTCTTGAAGTGCTATGCTATCTTTTAATATTTGCGGACATAACATTACTGTATGTAGACACTATTGACAAACCTATATTATTTCGAATGTGTTGTCCGTAGTAGTAACTTGAATCTTGATGTGCCTTACCGTGCTAGAATCATGAAACATATAAAAATCTCGGGTTTACACTTGTAACAGTTAAAAAATTGTGAGTAATTTTATCAAGTTGTTAACGCACAAAGTCTCAGCATGTGTTGTCCGTGCAGTACTATGCTATCGTGATAAATATATTGTGGACAGTAAATGGCATTTACTTACGCTGTATCCCTCTTTTGATTTCATACTATCAGCCTTCTTAAATTTGTTGCCACTAGATGCATTGGTACCTGTATTGGTAACTCGGCTCAGATTAGATAAGTATGTTCCATTCTCTCTGCTAAAACTATTTATTATACCTGATAAAGGAAATAGGATAAAAAAAGAGATTTTGATTAGTTATCACGAAAAATTTAATACAGACCAGTGCTACCAAATGATAAAATGCATGGCTTCAACAAATGATCATCTTACTTGATTCATCGTCGTAAAATTCGCTATTAATGCCGTTAAGATCGTTCGTATCAACGTCATCAACGTCAGAATAATTTCTATCGGTCGTTTTCAATACTTCATTCTGCCTGGTTAACTTCCTAGATAACTCGGCAATAGTACCTTGTAATTCTGTAACGCTATGTTGCGATTCAGTCGTTAAATTCTTTAATCTTTTTTCGTAGTCAGCAATAGCAAATTGATAGCTTTCACGGACTTGTTGTAACTCTACTCTTAAATCGTCGCGCTCAAGAATAGCATGACGAAATCGATCGGTAAGAGTATTAATCTTATCATCTGCGTATTTCATCGATTGGATAGTATCCTGCGTTGATAGGGTATAGTATCCCGTTCGGGTGATATTTTATTATTACCATAATGTAAAAATTAAAAAAACCAAAATTATAACGTGATTATCTTTAAGCACATGCACACGATTGTCTAGTCTCAGCTTTAGCAGATCTCAACTTTAACTGTGTGAATAGTAACAAGGAATTGCAGCATGTATTCAAGATAAATGAACTCGATAAATATGATAATGGTCAACAAACAAATATTAATCTGAAGGAATTACCAATCTTCTATATCGATAAGTCTATCTATGAGGCTGAAAAGCATAACTATCTTCATCAAAGGTGAAGAACTACAGTACCAGCTACTGTGTAACAGCTGATATTTATTAAAAATTATGACTAATGTTTTCTCGGCCGCTAAACAAAGGTTCTTTCATTTCAAAAAGTAAGGTTATCACGTAGCGTTATAGATAATTCATATCCTGAAGACGATAACGGATGATAATTATCGTTGTAAATATCTTATCATAACGTTATTTGTTTGATTTCCTGTCCATATCTACGAATAAGTAATTCAATTTATTCAATTCTTTAACGACAAAGCTGATTTTCATATCTAGAATATTTAAATCAGTTTTGCTTTCATCAAATAGAAGTAATAGGATTGGATTTTCAGAGATGTACAATACACGTATGACCATTTTTAAATATGCTGTATATTTATTCTAACTACAGGAAGTGTGATTTGGGCTTGGAATCAAAGTCCACTTCTTTGAATAATGTAAGCGTATATGATATTCAGTACAGTATACAGACTGGTCATTACAATAAATAGGATAGGCTGGTTGCATTATGATGTGACAGATCGTCATTGGCAAAATCATTACCTATTCCGAAAAGATATCCTTGTTTATGTCAAGAAGGATTGGCTATAATCTCAATTGACGTAAGGTACAAGTGTAAGCCTCATTTAGGACTAAAATTGGAGAGAATGACTCAAAAGGTGCAATGCAATGATAAGCGATTTCATCGATTTTACAAGGAAAACTGAATTATGGTCACTAATGACAGATCAACCTGAAAGAACTATAAATTTTATATCCAATTACGCAGGATGCAAAATGTATATATATAACACATAGACTACGTAAATGAACTTTCGAGGTGTCAAAATTTCACTGATTTGTTATTGTTTTTTTTACCCTTATTTTATCAAAAAATAAAGATATTAAAAAACAGCTTCGAAATTAAACATCTATTAATATAAATTCATCACTGATATTGAAATTAAAACGTACAGTATAAAGAATGATTTAATCTTAGCCCTGGGCTATTCTTATAATTTATGATTATTTCATATCCAACGTTAATATCATCGTTCATTTGTGCAATATTCACAAGAAACTAGCTTAAAGGCTTGTGATTGTTATTCTAGTAAGACTCACCAACAACTGGCAATCGAATTCATCATCGACGACCAAATTTAAACATTCTTCCTGATTTGCTTTTAAGGGCATTATTTTTGTTGATGAATTGCAGTTCGTGGAAACTTTATTAAGACGTCGATAAGATGTTTTGTCCATTTTATCACTTGCGTCATTACATCCATTGCCCAGGCTATAGTTGCAGGCAAAAGATAGGCAAACAGATTAGTCGGTAGTTTAAACATCGCTAGTAACGCTGGTTAAATACCGTCACGTAGTAATAAAATACTTTCAAAATATGGCTTGAACCGTTAGACGTTACAAATTACAGTACTGTTAATTTATGTTAATGTTAATGAAAGACTATCTTCGATCGTAAAATACTACGGTAAATATCAAGATCAAGATAAGTTTGCTTTGACGTAGAGCAATTACCGAAAATCTATAGATCATCTGAACACGGTTGAAGATGGGCATTTTTTTAAGCGTAGTTTATATTACTGTACCTATCTAAGTTTGAATAGAAGATTTAAAGAACATTTACGTATACGTATGTATCTACGCTAATTGATTACCGTATCCGTTAGCATTTGAGAGCAGAATAAAATTTACTCTGTACGTAATTTAAGGATGATTATTTGTCGATTTTTTTCAATATGTTATCATTAAACCATTGTACGATAGCATCTAAAAGGAGCCGGCATCATCCACGAGTAAGTAAGATTATTTTGTACTTTAAAAATTAGAGGAATAAAAACACAAAGTGTGATTCTTTTTCTGGTTGATACGTATTGAAGTCGCAGAGGTCATAAGATATACATTTGAGTGTGATTGAATTGATGGGAAATTTACTGAAGTAGAGTATAGTAGACTATTAAGCACCCTTGCTTTATGAAAACAATTTTCTTACATTGTTACAAAGGTATATTTAAACAGTAGAGTAATATTGATTATAATTCTTATATTGTATGCTTTAGCTTATTCACAGTTGTCATTGAGCATCAAAAGGGATGATTCGCCAATATCAACGTAAGATGCATGTTGTTTATATCCGACCTATTCCTTGTAAAATACACTTTTAGAGTCATACGGCTAACATCCATTAAATCCAGGCAGCTATCACTCATAAGGATAGGAATAGGTCTGATAGAAAGCTGCAGTAATGCAAGTGAATTTCTTCTGATGACTGTATTCCCCATTTGATTAAAATAGTGCCGTAGTGAAAAATATAAAAATACCTAGGGAGAAGACCGAATTTATTGCACTGTACACTTTTACAGCGCTGGGAATTTATCACCACGTTGCGCTACTAGCTCGATAACAAGATTACGATCAGAATACGTGCATGTGATTGGCGTTTGACAAGATTGAAATGGTTGACTTTCATCATTTTGATTTACACTCTACTGTACTGGATTTTCGAATAACTCTTTTAAATTGATGGTGGGCATCCATATTTAATGTTAAGCGGATATCACGTAATCTTGACTACTTTTACAGGATTGCTGTAGTTTTAAAATGCATGAGTACAGTATACCACACACTCGAGTATAAACGACAACGTTCAGCATCCAAAATGCCATTCAATGTCGCTGCAGCTATCTTATCCCAATGCCACCATCTACAGTATACGACACTATTTCATGCCCTATTAAGATGCAGAGATGCAAGATGGAATGCATTCGACATGTATCGTCAACGATCTAGTTATCCTCTAAATATGACCACTAGTAGTTTTATGTATCACTTACTGTAGTCCTTTTGAGCATCTGGTATCGCCATCAGCTATATTAACATGATGAATACTGTTATCTAATTTGGGGGCCAGATCTTGATCCATTATTCTATTGGAAATGAGACAATTTTTTCCAAGTTCTCCAAACTGAAAATACGATATGGCAATAACGGTAGAGTTGCAACCTTGTGCTGGTAGCTTAACTACATTAATGGAATTTTCTCCCAACGATTGGAATACTACATGCCATAAGTACTGTATCGCGTTTTCAATTTTCCAACGGGAAGGACATTAAAGCATACTATCAAAGTTGATTGTCATCCATTTTATGCTTGCATGACAAAATTGAGATCATTTACATGCTGAAATAATCAGGCAACCAAGACTGACTACAGTATTTGTCATCCACAGCGATGACTTTATATACAACAGGCGAGAACTAATTTAGATGGCAGGTTAGCAAAAATTTCAAGCAACGTCATTAACTGTTGATTATTATTCTATTCTATTTATTATGATGAAATTGGATACGGACGTTGATATAGTGCTGATTCAAGTCATCTAGATAGGGCATTTACCACGGTTACTTCAAATTTGATCGATGTTATATGAGGGGGGGGGGTCACAACTCAAGATGCCCTTTGCCAGCCAGACCAGTCAGAACCTACAGTACCGTACTGTAGAGTTCGTACTGTATTGGACTATGACCAGACCAGACCATGAAAACCTGTACAGAATGTACAGTACAATGTACTATAATCGACAGGGCAATTCAGGTTGGATAGTGTACTGTAGGTTGTTGCCATACTGGACTACATAATCACTACGTACTTAAAGGAGAGCATTGCCGTGGCAGAGGTCATTTTGACTCCGTTACCCACTGAAGATAACAAGCGCCGACAGTTTTGGCTTCAAATCACCGGTAAGAATATTTGCAGTTGCTATCCAGTCATCATGTTTTGCTATGACCGAAATATTCTATGCGAATGCAATGTAGTCCATGAAGTATAGTATGATACGTTACCATTGAAAGTTGGATAATACATGTTCGTATGAGCGTGCAAATGACCAAGTAGAAATTAGACATTGATCATTTTTCATTCAAAGTCTCCATTTCTACGCGATCGCGTTACACTTCGACACACTATTGGATACTCATTTTACTTGCTTCTTAGCATAGGAAGTTCCCTTACCACTGTCCTTTATTCGCTTATATTGTATCATCTTGCTGATAGTATGGACCGTATTTTCTTGTCGTAATCGACTCGATCTCACTTCTTTTTTTAATCAATGTGATTAATGAAGATTGATCGATGATGATTTTCATTCAAAGTTGAGATAATTCCCATACTGTATACTACTGTACAGTACCACTGACAGTGGATCTCTGAACGTACCTTGAACGCTGGTGTCTGTCTGTATACTGTAGTCAATAGTACAGTACTGTATAGTAACATGATTGAATAATCATGAAGGAATAGTATGAAAATGTCAATGTACATACAGTACACTATACAAACCCGATCAGGTGTTTTGCAAGCATTTAAAGTGTTTTTGTTGTTGTCATCGACCTCAATAATCAGAACTTTCTAATAATAGAA